ACAGTTACCAAAACAGTCAGTTGGGTCCAATTCTTCATGACCTTATTTGGGATTTTCTTGGCAAAGATACTGGAGTGGTTTGCCATTTCCTTCTCCAGCTTATTTTATGGATGAGGAAACTGAGGCAAACAGGGTTAAGGGACTAGCATAGGATCACACACCTAGTAAGTATCTGAGGTTTGATTTGATCTCACGAAGATGAGCCTTCCTGATTTCAAGCCCAGTGCTCTATCTTGTGCCACAAGTCTGTGGGCTCCAGGCTAAAAACCCCTGATAACATAATTCTTTCATTTTATAGATGAGGACACCTAGGGTCATGGATGTGAGAAGCGGAGGATGGGTTCAAGTTCAGATTCCTTGACTCCAAATTGAGTGCTCTTTCCAATTGTAGGATGCTTCCTGATACTTTAAGAATGTTTACCTCCATCAGAAATTATCTAAGTTGCCTTCTTGCTTGCTACAGCCAGAGAGAATTACATTCACCTTATGACCTTCCCTACAATTTATAATCAAGCAGATAAATGTACAAGACATATAGGACAGAAACAAATTACTACATGCATAGACATCAAAGTATTTCCATTATATAGATCAAGGCCAGTATGTAATAGAGTTGAAAGGAAGAGTAATAATTAGCTACTGTGGAAATGGGAGATTTCCAGTCTAGATTTACCAGGGGAAAAAAAAAAAAAAAGATATGTCTTCCTGGCATGCTTATCAAAATAGTAAACGGCACAGTTTGAGTGGGATCGCTAATACATAGAATGAGAGACTCAGAATCTAAGAAGGTCTTGATAGTGTTGAACACTGGACATAATTTCACTCTAACATAATAAAATTTAATAAGGATAATAATAGCTAGTTTGTATGTATGTGTGTGTGTATATATATATACATATAAAAACACTTTAAGGTTTGAAAAAGTTCTTAACAAGCATTATCTCATTTGATCCTCAAAACAAGCATGGGAGATAGATGCTATTATTATGAGGGAACCAAGGCAGACAGAGGTAAGTGACTTGCCCAGGGTCAAATAGTTAAGTGTCTGAAGTGGATACTGGTCCTCCTCCTAACTCCAGGTCCAGCTTTCTCTCTATTCACTGCAGAACCCTCAATGCCTCAATCAGTGTAAAGCCTTCCACTGAGCTTCAAAAATTCAACTGTACAAGCAGGACAATGGGTAGGAAAGGGAAGGAATATGTCTTAATTGGGATGTAGCAGAGAAGACTTGGAAGTTGTAGTTGACTATAAGAGTAAAGTGAATTAACAGATGCACTATGAGGTTGTCTAAATTCCATGTTCCATTGAAAATATTAAATTATATTAAACATATTCTGAAGTCATCCTCTGCTTTGGCACTGATCACACCAGAAATTCTTGCACAAAGTTCATTCAAAGAGTAAGGTTTTGATAAGTATATTTTAGTTTTTAACAGGCTGTTAAACAGTTGTAACACTGTTACAGACTAACTTAGTTAGCTGGCATACAACCCACTTTTTCTTCTATCATTAAAGCTATTTAGCTTCATACAATAACATTTTCAGGAGATTTTATTTAAAAGAACAAATCCACTTCTTTATTCATTTTAAAAAACCCAAGTCAATTACCTTAACTGTATTTGATAGATTTTTAAAAATCTATAGAATATTTTTAACTGTATGTGGACTTTGGGTATACCCTATAACAAAATGCCCAAAAGGGAAGTTGAAAGTCCCACAGGCAGAACAGCATTGATGAAAACATATGAAAGAGTACACACAATTCCAGTCTATAAATATTGACAAACTGGAAGAAGTATGGCCAGAAGGGGGCAACCAAGAAGATAAGAGGGTCTGAAGACCAGGTCATTTGAAGAATGGCTGAAGGAAGGGCAGCGAGGTGGCGCAGTGGATAGAGCACCGACCCTGCAGTCAGGAGGACCCGAGTTCAAATCTGGCCTCAGAAACATAATACTCACTAGCTGTATGACTCTGGGCAAGTCACAACCCCAACTGCCTCACCAAGAAAAAAAAAAAAAGAAAAGAAAAGATAGGCTGAAGGAATTGAGACATACTTATCCTGGAGAAGGGAAGGAAAAAGATGGAAAGAAGTACAGGATCAATGCTTGAAGGGTTGTCTAAGAAAAAAAAAGCAGACTAAGAAGAACTAGGATCAATGGGTAGAGAAATGATGGAAGGCATATTCCAGCTCAACTAAGTTTACTAACTTGGAGATATGGAAAAAAAAATGGAACAGGCAATGTGCTCCTTGTAAATGAAGGTCTTCAGAGAATACCCCTTGTTTGAGAAGACTTATAGAAGATATACAGGGTGGGAGTTGGACTAGATTTCCAATTCTGAAGGTCCACCTTCAAATGACACCATTTTGAAAGAGACTGAAACAATGCTATATTTTTGGCAATGAGTAAAGAAGCCCATTAAATTACAACAAAGACTTTCCTCCCCACCCCCCACCCCAAGTTATTTATGTTCATTTCTAAGCTTACCACTCTAAGGAAATTGGTCTGTTAATGGAAAAAATACTGGGGGGGGGGGGCGGCCCTGGGGAGATAAGAGAAGGAAGGGGAATGATAATGTCAACAGAGGCCAGACTAGCTATTTCTTGTAAAAAATCATAAATCTAATAGGTTTTTTTCCATTTGATGACTACAATACTAAAGAAACTATTTGAAATCAACAATTCGCAAGTACATCTTCAGTACCCTGTTATTTTTTTTCCAAAATTGGCATCATTGGGGAAGAGGAGTGGGGTATTTTTGAGAAAGCTTAGAAATTTATAATTTAGTGCAGGTTTGGCTTGCATGTATAGTCTATAACATTTATCAATAGCTAACATTCCTCATTTTTAAGACTCTTAGAAGTATTTCAAATTACACCAACACTGACTCCCCCCCTCACTTCCAATGGAAAAAAAACAAAAAAAACAAACGAGATTAGTTTTTCCACAGTAATCACTCACAAGTTCAGAAGGAACTTCACATAAACAAGAGCAAATAACTATATTGCTTACTTTAGTATAATGCACTTTTTCTTCTCCTTCAGAGTAAAACAAACAGATAAAAACACAAAATTTCTTAAGAATAAAACTGCTATAGATTCACAGCAAATTGACCAAAAATGGCCAGTTTCACATAGCCAGCTAGGGTAGGTGGGGCCATCAAATGGTTACAAGTGGCCATCTTTTAGTTTAGTCAGGAACAGTAGTTGCAAGAGATTATTGATGCAGCAGCAGTTCCCAACCATCCTTTTCAATATAAGCTTGGCAACATAAGCATTAAAAAAAAAAATTCCCAAAGGGTAAGCCAAAAGAGATTTGTTGACTGTTTTTTTTGGTTTGTTTTTTGTAGACTCTAGGCTTCATTTCAAACAGACTATAAAATCAGGTTTCATCATCTGATTGTTAAAAAGCAAGTAACTAAAGGGTTTACTTCAAGTGGTACAGCTCCAAGACAGCTTCAATTCCAAACCCAAATTTGAATATTTTACAATTCAAGCAGGAGGGCAAATTAGTTCTTTTTGTTAGGAAAGTGATTCACTTCTTGTGGTTAAGTGAATGATGAACTCAAACAAGTTTCTGAGAATAGCAAAATTAGTTCCCAATGTACCATTACGTGAAATTATAGTATGAACTGGTACAACATTTGATATTAATAGATAAATATTAGTAAGTCTGCTCAGAAAAGTCCTTTCAACTTGATATTTCCAAGCATTATAAATGAGCCTTAAAAGCTAAAGGTAGGAAATATCCCACCTTTCCAGAAAACCAAGTCATATAGTCATATCTGTCTTAAAATATTTTTTTTATTTTTTTCACTTTGAAATCTGAAGCCAGTTTTACTTTGGTTTTTATCAGTACACAAATATAGTAAACTAACAAAGAGGAAGGAAGGAGCATCTGGGATGGAGAGTTGAATTTATTCTGTCACAAAATTGAATGAAGATAGCATATGAGTCAGAAATAAACGAATTGGTTCAAGGTATTGAATAACCTTTAGTGTCCTTTCCTGGCCTCTTAGCAGCACCCACAGCATCAGTATGATACTTGTCCAGTCAAGCCCCATTTTCTTGTACTTGGAGGTGACTCTTGAGACAACCTCATGGCAAAGTTGTCTCTTGGGGTGAGCTGGTCACCCGAGCTCTGCTGGGGCTGTAGGAAAGCCAAGCTAAGTGTCCGTCTCTATTTTTATTTTGAATGCAGTGTAAGAAAAATGAGGGGCAACCCTTAAGAAATTACATATCCACACATCACAAGGCTTTTACTACGGACACAGAGGTTCACATTCAGAAAAAGTTAATCACCTTACGCAACCTAACTCTATGAGGGATGACTTAACCCTTTCAAGACTTGCCCCTAGGGAAGTGGGTTGGGAGGGCAGCCAGAATAAGCTGTAGGGGAAGACATACAAGACCTACCTCTCTCCAGGCGGGAGAACTGTACATATACACACATACACACATACATTACACACACTATTGCACCTACGCACACAGCTCAACATGCATGAACGAGAAAAGCTCAGGAAAGAGGCTGAAATGCTACAGGCCAGACAAGGGGCTGGGCTCACCTAAGACATCCTGCTAAGGATGCCCAGCCCCAAGGTGACACCCTCGGAAATGTCCTGGAAGAGTTGATCCAACAGATGCCACCTTCAAAGAACAAAGAAGATAAGGACAGGGGTAGATGGGGTGGTAGTGGCCAGAGGACTAGAGCTCCCGGAGCCAGAGATCACTTTTCTCCACCCTCCCCGGCTGCCCTTCAGGACAGGGCTTGGGTTTTGTTGTCTTTGTGTCCTCTCCCTCCCCTCCCACCCCCAACCACGCGTCTAGCACAGTGCCAAGCATATAGTAGGCGCTTAATAAATGCTTGTTGCATGGAACCAAAATAGGTATGGGTTTTAAGACGGCAGGAGGTTGGCTCCGGGGGGGTGGGGGGTTAAGGCAGAGGGGTGGTGGATGCCCCCCAAAGACGGACCCCACCCGAGGTTTCCCGGCTGCTCTCACCTCATCGCCCCACTTGAGCACGTCTTTGTGCCGCTCCTTGACGGCGTGGTAAATATGCAGAAACTGGAGGATGCCGTGCCGCCGCACGTGGTCCGCGTGGCGCTTGGTCTCTTCCCAGCTAAGCGGCGAGCCCTGGGACAGGAGTCCCATGGCTGCCCCCGGTGCTGGTGCTGGTGCTGCTGCTGCTGGTGCTGCTGCTGCCGCCGCCGCCTCCTCCCGAGCTGCGGCTGCCGATCAAGGGCAGGGACGCGGAGCGGACGCCTCGCCCAGCGGCTCCTGGACGCTCCGGGGCTCCGGGCCCGGGCTCCTTCCCGGCCAGGTGATGGACCCCGGCGTCCGGATACCCACGGGAAGGAGAAGGCGAGGCTCCGAGGCAGGATGCCTCTCGTCTTCCTTCGCTTTCCTCGGGGGCTTCCTCGCGCCTTGCCCACCTCCTCCTCCAGCAGCGGCAGCCGCTCCACGCCGTCCCGCGTACCGACGTCGGGGGCTGCAACAGCAACCTCTCCCCTTTGCCGGCTGTCGTGCACAAGCCGCTTCCTACTTGTGACCAAAACCTGCGGCGCCGCGGAGCATGCCCAGTACCCGACCCCGGCAGGAACGAAAGCCCCGTGTGGAATCCGCGGCTCCGGGTTTTAAAGGCGACGGGAGGGCGGGGGCGGGGGCGGGAGGAGGTGAAGGGGAGGAGCCTGTGGGGGACGGGCCTGTGGAGGGCGGGGGGAGGGGGCGGAGTCTGAACCTGACTTCAAAAAGAGGAGGGGAGCTGAGGTTAGGGAATGGATGGGGGTGGGAGGGGTTCTCCCAGGGAAGGACGGTAGGTCTACCCCTGCAAACCCGATTTATGAAAATCCATATTTACTGGGAACAAAACAAAAAACAACCCCAGAATGTTTCGGGCAAATGAGGTATAGTGAGAATTGCACTTCACCATGGAGTCGGGAGACCTGAGTTCAGATCTCAGCTTTGTGATATAATGATCCTAGATAATATTTGTACAGCACCTACTATGTGTCAGGCCCTTTCCAAATATTATCTCATTTTATCCTTTGAACAATCCTGGGAGGGAAGTGCATTGTTATCCTCACTTTAGAGAAAAGGAAACTGAAGCAAACAGTGATTAAGTGGCTTGCCCAGGGTTACCCAGCTAATAAAGGTCTGAGGCTGAATTTGAACTCAGGCCTTTGGGGAGCTCCAACCACTGGGCCATCTAGCTGCCCCAAATTATTTCTGAGTTCTACCATTTAATGCATCTTATCCCCTCGTTTTTTACAGATGAGGGAACTAAATCCCAGAAAGGTGAATTCACATAGATAGCCAAGGTTACATAGGTAGAACCCATATGACACTACCCAACTTGGAGTTCAGGAGTCATTCTACCACACTACACATGGTTGTGAACATATATACTGCAATAATAATAATAATTAATAATTTACTTTAAGGTTTGCAAAACTGTTTACAAACATCAACTCATTTTGTCTTCATAACAACCCTGGGAGATGGGTGTTATGTGAGTCAATATTATCTGTTTCAAAATGGGGGGCAGGAGGCACTCCCCCAAGAGCATTTAAATGACTTGTCCAAAGTCAGAAAGACTTTGACTAGAGATAGTGAGATCTTGAGACTAGAGACCAGAACCCATGCTCCTTTTTGTGGTCTAATTATTTTTCCATCAGACAATGGAGGGCTCTCTAGATGGAAAGATTAGTTAAGTTGCTAAAGAATTTGCCAGGAGATTATTTTATACAAGAAGTCTGTAGAATCATAGGTTTGGGTGTGGAAGGGACCTCAGAAGCCCTCTAGTCTAACCCTTTCATTTTACAAATAAGGACACATGTACAGAGAGGTTGAGACTTGCTCAGGAATACAAAGAAAGTGAAAAGCAAACCTAGAATTTGAGCTCAGCTCCTGTAATTTCCCAGTGTTCTTTGTAAAGCTTGTAGTGTGTTAAAATATATGTACCATCTATGGAAGATTTCTAGGAGGACATGGGCAAAAATTGCACAAGATGAGAAAGTAAGGCTGAGTTGCCATCTTCACTTTGGGGGAATACCTACAATTAAAATCATAGACCCATTGTAGTAAAAAGTATTACTATGCCTCATATGTATTTTAATATGATCTTTTTATATTTTCTTTATTTTCTAATATGTTCTCCACTTCTCTCCCCAGAGACTCACCCCTTGTAACAAAGAAAAAAGAAAGATAAAAATCACTTTGGCAAAACTAACGAACACATCAGCCAAGTCTGACCATAATATGCAATGTTCCACATCTACAATCCCCCACCTCTGCAAACAAGGGAAGGAGCCCTTCCTCACCTCCTCTCTTCTTCAGAACCAAGGCCAATAATTAAAATTACCCAGAGCTCAGTTTCTTTTTGTTGGTGTTCTTTTCATTTATATTGTAGTTATTGTGTATATTGTTTTCTCGCTTCACGATACATCAGTTCAAATAAGTCTTCCTATGCTTCTCTGAATTTTCCATCTTTATCATTTCTTGTGGCTCAGTAATATTCACCTGTGCCCCCTTACTTTAAAATATTCTTCATATTACAACCTTTTGGTGACATAGACTAAATTTCACATCCCCTTCTTTGTATCAATCAGTGCCATATCCACCATGAAGAGATTCCACTGCTACCATCACTGGTGGAGACATTCAGAAAGGGCAAATGCTCTGCTCTCAGTGATATTGGCCAATATTTATATAAACTGATAGAAATAAAATGATTTGCCCAAGGTTGCCTAGCTAGTAAATATTTGAGGCAGGATTTGAACTCAGATCTTTTTCACTCCATGACCAGTGCTCTATACTCATGCTTAGTTTCCTTGAAAGGTAATCAGTCATTCATCCAAAGATGATAGATGTTTAGAGTAACTCATGGTAAGAACTTAAAATTGTTCCCTAATTGGTGAGTGCTGTGGTTACTGCAGGGCCAGTCTGCTTAGATCAATCCCTTCACTGGGAAAGGGGATTGGGAGGGTAATTCTGATAGACATAGCTAGAGTGACTGATGACTGTATGTGCAGCCCTTTGCTTCAAAGGAATGCTGCCAATCCCTGTTTACATTATCTGCTCACTCTAGTTTGGTGCATTTATAAAGAGAGTCAGCTCTCTCTGTCTAGTTCAATATCAAATCATGGAGCCCTCAGACATTAAAGTGTACAGGCTTATTTCCCAGGACCAGACAAAGACAGGAGCTCAGTAGGTGGTAGTGAGGCCAACCTAAGATGTGTAAGTTTTCTAGTATACATCTTGCATGAGTAAATATATTGATATTATTTGTATATTACTCAATAAACCCCAAAGATGACTAAGGTGATCATCTTAATGTCTAGCTTTTTCTATGTTCCTTGAAATCCTGAGCCTGACTAGCACATGGGTTTGGGTGGTCTCTGTGGGACCACCTAACTCAGATCAATTCTATTCTGATCCTCAATTAGCCTCCTGGCAGCCCTGATAGGAAAGGGAAGGAAAAGATGTGATCATATGAAGGTTAAGGCAATTCTGGGACAAGTGCTTGAAGGTACAGCATGGGGAAAGAGTTGCAGCAAGGCCACACATGTTTGCTTTGTTTCTTTAATTTTCAGGAGTGTTCATATTTTCAGCACCAGAAAATTTCATTCTCCCTGGAGGATAAGTATTTGTTTTGTGATAACTCAAATTGCATGTGTTATTGTAAATGGTCAAAGTCTCAGGTAGATAGTAACACATGGTGGGAGAACAATTATCCCAGCTTGCCTTCTCTCTGCTTAGGGTCAGGGAGAATAGAGGGTGAATACTGAATGCTATAATTTTTTGTATCCCCCAGAACATCTTGTACAGTTCTAGCCACATATTGGGCAATCCATTAATATTTGTTGAATGAATTAATGACAGAAATTTTTTTTTAAAAAATTAAATTTGATTTTTCAATCAATGAAACTCTGCCTTCTCTCTTCCCCACTGAGAAAGGAATAAAAACAAAATCCCTATTGCAAATATGCATAGAAAAGCAAAACAAATTCCTGCATTGACTTTATCTCTCCCAAAATATGTCTCAATCTACATTTTAAATCCATCATCTCTCTAGAGGGAGGTAGCATGGTTCCTCATGCTCCCTCTAGAATCATGATTGGTCCCTGTGTTGACGAGAGTTCTTAAGTCTTTCAAAGTTATTTGTCTTTACAGTATTGTTGTTTTTATATTAATTGTTCTCCTGGTTTTGCTCACTTCACTCTACTTCAGTTCATACAAATCTTCCGTTTTTCTGAAACCATCCCCTTTATTTTTTATAGCACAATAGTATTACATCAAATTCATATATCATAACTTGTTTAGCTATTCCTAAATTGATAACCACTCCCTCAATTTCCAATTTTTTGCTAACACAAAGAGAGCTACTATAAATATTTTTATACATATGGATCCTTTTCCTCTTTCTTTTATCTCTTTGAGGTGTAGACCCCCAAGTATTAGCACTGGGTCCAAGAGTATGCACAGTTTAGTAATTTGAGGAGCAGAATTCCAAATTGTTTTCCAAAATGTCTGGACCAGTTAACTGCTTCACCAACAGTGTCTGTTTTCCCATAGCCCAACCATTATGTGTCATTTTCTGTTTTTGTCAATTTTGCCAATCTGATGGATATGATCAGAACCTCAGAGCTCTATTAATTTTCAGTTTTCTAATTATTAATGATTGAGAGCACTTTTCATATGGGGAAAGGAATAAGTATTTATATAGTGCCCACTATGGGCCATGCGCTTTACAAATATAGTTGAAGAAACTGAGGCAAATGGACATTAAATAACTTGCCCAGGGTCACATAGCTAGTAAAGCTGAAATGAACTCAGGTCTTCCTGACTCTAGGCCCAGCATTCTAACCACTGTATCACCTAGCTGTCTCTGTTGGTATTGGCTGTTAGTAGCTTGTATTTTTTCCTCTGAAAATTGCCTGTTCGTATCATTTGACCATTTATGGTCATGGATTCTTCCCCTATCCTTAGATCTGACAGACAATGCTTTCTTGTTCCTCTAATTTATGATATCATCCTTTATGTCTAAGTCATATACCCATTTGGAACTTCTCTGGGTATCAAGTCTGAGATGCAGAAGTTTTCCTTATATTACACTAACCAATAAAGTCCCATGTTCTAAAGTCAGAATTTTGCTTTATGTTTCACTCATGCATGCCTGGAGCATGCATAATATT